ATATTCTTCTTTGTTATTATATATATAATATGGGCTAATTACTTGAGTTGGGATTTATAATAGTAACTTATTTATTTTCATGTATTTTTATTATTGTTATTATTACATTTTCATTTATGTGGCCAATGAATGATTATATTTAGTAATTTATATATCATTCGAGAGAATGTTGTGCATTTTAGACCAAATAGTAAAAACCCTAGGTTGTGTGGTAATAAAGATATACCCCTAATCCTAAGCGACCCTATGAGCTATTTTTACAAAGATTTAATACAGTTGTTTGGGTTTTAATCGATATAGAAATATAATAGATTAAACCAATTAATTAGGGTTAATTTCGTTAGAGAGAGGTAATTAACTTAAATTGAAAAATCGGGTCTAATATTGTAAAAGAGTAACTTGTTAATTGGCTCGTGGAAAAATTGATTAGGCGACGATTAAACAAAACCATGAATCTCAACTACATCTGCTTTCGAAAATTTCCAAGATTTTTATATTTTATTATTTTGTAGATTTTTAGTTATATTCCAAAATCATAATTTTATTGTGTGTTTATTTTTATTGTTAAAATTATATTAATTAAAGTTGTGTAATTTAAAGTAAACATTCCTCGAGGGATCGACAACGCGGACTCAAAAAGTCCGTTCTATTACTTGAACGCGACCCGTGCACTTGTAATGTATAATTTTAGCAAAATAGACCCACACTCCGAGGTGTCGAAGCACCTAAGCAGTATATCAGCATATATCTGAATTAGATAGCATCGGCACGAAAAAGGACGAACCACATGGCTAGAAGACACATTTCTTGGCACGCAGTCAATGCTTTGACACAAGATACAGATCTTTTAGATAAAAATTTGTCCAAAATAAAATCTTATGAATGATGAATTTGACATCTCTGCAGAGGACGCCGGTGTCAATTTGAATCTAAAAAATTAAATGCAGGGTAATTAGCACAAAACGTCCCTGCTTTTGGAGGTTTTTGTGGATAACGTCCCTACCTTTCGTTTTTTGGCGGAGAACCTCCCTACCTTTACTATTTTTTGCGCAGAACGTCCTTCTGTCAATTTTTCGTTAAAATGTTCCGTTAAATCAAATAAAATGGATCTTTTCTTTTTAAAATGCAGGGGTAAGATCGTCCATCCAACATTTTCTTCACTGTGTAATCTCTTCCGCCTCTTTCTTCTTCAAAAGTTCAAGAAAAAGTAAAGTAACATGAAAAAAAAAACTTATACAATATTATTTCATTCAATAAATTAGGGAAAATAACGTGAGAATGACTGCATTTCTGGTAGAAAATATTCATGGCTGTTGTAATACTAATTGTTCAAAACATTTTGGAATGCTATATGAAGAGAATGAATATGTGGTTAATAAAAATGAGATGTCCATCCTTATTTTGTGCTTACGAAAGGTGTAAATAAGAGGTAAAGTGAGAAGGCCAATTAAAAGTATGATTCTGTAAATGGATAATACATGTGATGGAGTGGAGAAGATGATGAAATATGAACGTGTTTTCTCCCCCATTTTAGCATAAAATTGAATTGGTGATAACAATCCCTACCTTTATATTGTCTTTGCGAAAAACATCCCTACCTTTACATTCTATTTGTGAAAAACATCCCTACCTTTACAATGTATTTGCGAAAAACATCCCTACCTTTGTTAAAAATTGTGCAAACC